TAATGTCTGTATTAAATTTTAAATTAATAATTTATATCTTATGTATTTGTTTCATTTATAGTACTGTACGACAAATCAATTTACTCACTCAGTCAACATTTCATTCTTGACAAATTTACGACTTTATACCAGAATTTTTTTTATAATTATATTATCAATTTTTATCAAAATTAATGATTGAGAAAAAAAAAACTAAACTAAAAAAAGGTGAGCTTCCATATTTCCTTAACTAATAAAATCAAAATAAAATGAATTCATAAGTTATAAAAAATATTTTAAATTTGAATATTTATTTACAACTTCACATATCTAATTTTAGGGGTAAGTTGCACCGACTGGAATGTATGTCTTTAGATCCACGGCAAAATGATAGATTTAACGCAAGCTTTTTCTTTTCTCTGTTAAAAAATATTTAATTAATTATATTTGAAATTATTTTCCGAAATAATGTAATTGTGCACAAAGAGTGCACAACTGTCACATGGTGTAGCCATGTGAGTTGCACACAAAGCATGCATTACTAAATGGATCATGCAAGTGGCACAATTCTAGTCATATGTCTCGAATTTCATTACCTCTTATATCCTTGTCCAACCACTCCACATTAATATGAATAAATGTAATAAATAATAATAATTATATCATAATTAATATTATAAATAATAATTATCCAACCAATTTATTATTTTGGAAATTTTCATTTAGTTTTTTTAGTCAACTAATAATTAACGTGGTAAATAATTCTTAGGAGTAATTTTTGGAATCTCTGCAAATTAAAAAATTATAAATTTATTATCATCAATTATAATTTGATGATTGACTTTTATTTTATTTTTTTGGAAAATAAAAAATCATGAAATAATACTATCGTTATAAGAGGAATTTGATTCAGTATTAAATAATATAGAATATTTGAATTCTTTTATCAAGAGTGAAGAAAAGCAACTATCAAACATTAATTATAATAATAAGTTTAGTATTTTTATGTTTATAAGGATTCTTAAAATCACATTTGGCAAAATGTATTTATGCTAATTTTTAATATTAAATAATTGCATTATTTATTATCTTAATCGTTATATAGTAAATATTATTTATGATGTCAATCAATATTTACGTTTTGTGAGGAGATGGAGGAGTAGGTGTAATCAAATTTGAGACAAACAACTGCAATCATGCAACTGATTAATCATTTTCACAAAATAGTTTCAAATTTGTATCAATTTAATATTTAGGGTTTAGGTCTAGTATCAAAAATCCAGAGAACAAAGTCCATATCAACGAAAATCAAGTAATTCAAAAATATTCCTAATTTCGCGTTCCATTTGAAAATCCCTTAAATCATCTCATCCTTTGGGGCGTTTGGTAGCTGTTTTTCTCCTAAATAATCAAGCAAATCAGATTGGATTTAGGACTTTACCATGTTTGGTAGAGGAGTTTAAAAAAATGAACCATGCAAATGGCTTTCCCAGCCAAAATCATTTGTGCGTAAATTTTTCTCTATTTCACTATTTCAAAAATCACAAGCTAGGTGGTATTTGGTGTTAACCGGGCAAAGGAGGAAACGAGCAAGAGAATTATTTCGGAAATGCCCCTTTTCAACAAAAAAAACTATTTTTCAACCAACGAAGCAGACATCATTGGCTACTTGGAGTCTTCAAGCGACGGTGTATGTTTGGTTCCCAATTTCAAGCATTAGTGAACAACTCAACATTCTTCAGCTTGCTGGGACTTCAGGTAACGAGGAGATTTGGATAGGAAGTCAAACAACTCAACATTCCGTTTACAATATACGCTCAAAACGTCGGAGATTTGGTCACCAATTTTGAAAGAGAGACACAGCGAAAGGTAGAGATTTAAAAAAGGAACATCATATCTTGGAGATAACCCCAACAATTGAATCAATCATATTTTAGTCGAGGGTATATTTTCTTTCAGCTTCAAAATTAAAAGTGTCATTTTAGTAACTTACACTCATTATCCCATCAATATATTATCTTCAACC